ATTTACATGCCCTTATATGGAAAACACTCCACCTCACAGACAGAGCCCCCTATACCAGCCTTAGAGGTATTACAGGCTATGGCTCCCTGCGATAGGTAGCCATTGTTGTAGTTCTGACTCGGACAATTTCAAGTTTAGAGTGCAGTGTAGATGCACCCTAAATAGCTAAGAGCAAAATTAATCTCAATGTATATTATAGTGGTGGGTGAGGAGTTGCAAAGACCTCTCTTCCATGTTCACTCTCCTCTGCTTCCCAGCTTTGTCTTCATTTTTCTCTTCCTTTCCACTTTGGTGTATCCTCCTCCTGGTCATCCCTTAGTTTGTCTCCTCCCAAATTAGATTGAGAGTGTCTCATCAGTGTGCCTGCTGCACCTTTTGATCAGCATTCCCCATTCTTGAAGCATGTGGATAAAATGGAGCCCAGAGCTCTGAACAGGAGAGCTGTCCCCCATCAGGTTCCCAACTATGCTCATGTGCTCTAATCTGGGTAGAGCCAGTGTGTTCACTCATCAACAAACAGCCCAGCAGCCACAGCAAAAGACAGAGGGGGATTTGCTAATATGCCCTTCTTCAATAAGTAATACAGCTAACCAGGGGCAAAATTATACACATCAGAGTCAAACCTTGAACAACACCCATAAACAAAATGTAACTGCCTGAATTAGAAACTGTCCAGTGCACACATCAGGAAATCCTAACAAGCACCATGCAGGGTCTGCAAGGACTGCAAGTTATCTAAACCCTGAGGTTATGTCTACACAGAAGCGTTATTTTGGAATAACTTATATTATTCCAAAATAACATAGTCTGCATCTAGACAGCTGGAGGACTGCTCACTCCGACTCCTGTAATCCTCATTGTATGAGGAGTAAGGGAAGTCAGAGGAAGAGTGCTTTACCTCGAAATAATGCTGTGTAGACAGTGCCAAAAGTTGAAATAAGCTATTTTGACTTAAACTACTCAATGGCTGTGTCTAGACTGGCAAGTTTTTCCGGAAAATCAGCCGCTTTTCTGGAAAAACTTGCTAGCTGTCTACACTGGCCGCTTGAATTTCCGCAAAATCACTGACTTCCTACTGTCTGAAATCAGTGCTTCTTGCGGAAAAACTATGCTGCTCCCGTTCGGGCAAAAGTCCTTTTGCGCAAAGCTTTTCAGATTTGTTTTGTGCAAAAAAGCCCCGATTGTGAAAATGGCGATTGGGGCTTTTTTGCGCAAAAGAGCATCTAGATTTGCACGGACGCTTTTCTGCAAATGCTTTTAACGGAAAAACTTTTCCGTTAAAAGCATTTGTAGAAAATCATGCCAGTCTAGACGTAGCCAATTAGCATAGCTCAAGTTGCGTAGTTTATTTCGAGTTTAGCCCTGCTGTGTAGACATGCCATGTTTTTGTGCCTCATTTTGGAAAACACAGCCCTTCTAGCAGCATTGCATTCCTTGACACCATAGCATGACATTCACAGCCTCAGAGGGAGGAGTGCCTCCTACTGACTCACAACCACCCCTTCTTACAGTACGGCAGATTTTCTGTGGTCCCAAGACTGTAGAGGAGATGCCAAAAAATGGGTAATTGGAGTAGGATTCAGACTGTGCATAACAGTGACAGCTGCATCTTTTTGCCATGGCAGGTTTGCCTCTGGCATCTGAATCAAGGGCTCCTGAGGATCTGAGTAGCAGAGAGAAGAGGCTTTGAAGTAAGCTCTCAGGAAACAAATGTCTTATGAATCTGGTTCCTAAGGGGCTGTGTTTGCAGATGTGATAATCCTACTGGGGAAATCTTAATACACTGAAAATGAGATTGCAACTGTCTCATAGATTAATAGATTCCCAGGCCAGAGTGGATCATTGTGATCATCTAGTATCTAGTCTGACCTGTGCTAGACAGGCCACAGAACTTGCCCCAAGTAATTCCTGATTGAATATTACCATATCTTTTAGAAAAGCATCCAATATTGATTTAAAAATTGCCAGTGATGGAGAATACACCACAATGCTTGGTAAATCGTTCAAATGGTTAATTACTCTGCTAAAAATTCACACTTTATTTTTCCAGCATGAATTTTTCTAGCTTCAACTTCCACACGTTGGATTGTATTATTGTATATCAGTGTTTCTCAAAGTGGGCTGCAGACCCTTTTTGAAAAAGCTGCTAACATGCCGCTCCAGTTTCTTTGCTTAACAGGTCCTCAGCCACAGAGCCTCGTGGCCCCCATTGTCTGCAGTTCACCATTTGCAGCCCAGGCCACACTACTTCCCACAGCTCCCCTTGGATGCAAACAGTGAATCACAGATAATGGAGGCCACGAGGCTCCATGGCAGTAGAGCTGTTAAATAAACAAACTGGAGTGGCCCGTTAGCAGCTTTCTCAAGGAGCACCCACAGCCCACTTTGAGAAACACTGCTGTATACATTTGCCTGTTAGACTGAAGAGCCCATTATCAAATACGTGTTCCTCATGTAGGTACTTACAAACTATAAAGTCAGCTCATCCCTTACCTTAAAATAAATTTAGCTCCTTGGGTCTTTCCTATAAAATATGTTTTGCAGTTTTTGTGGCTTTTTTCAAAACCCCCTCCAATGTATCAACGCACATCTTGAATTGGAGACACCAGCACAGGACACAGTATTCCATTTGCAGCTGCACCAGAGTTGACAAAAACAGAGGTTGATTCCCCTGTCTATAAATCCAAGGGTAGCATTAGTCCTTTTGGCCACAGCATGGCATTGGGAGATCATGTTCATATAACAATTCAGCATGACTCCCAAATCTTTTTCAGATTCACTGCTTCCAGCACAGAATCCAGTAGGTGTGGGCTACATTCTTTGTTGTTATGTAATGTTTGTTTTCCCATTTAGCACTATTAAATTGCATGTTACTTGCTTGGGTCCAGTTTACCAAGCAAATCCAAGTACTCTCTGTCAGTGACCTTTCAGCTTTCTTACATACAGCCCCAATGTTTGTGTCATCTGTGAACTTTATCAGCAATGATTTTGTATTTTGTCAGAGCGTGGCCAAAAATGTTGAATAGCATACATACCAAACCAATCCCTAAAGGACCCCTCTAGAAACATACACCATTGATGATGATTCCCTGTTTATAATTACATTTGGGTATGTCTACACATCAAAGTTATTTTGGGATACCAGAGGTATCCCGAAATAGCTACCCCACATCTTTTGAATGTGTCCACTATTCTGAAATATAGTGGATGTGCTATTTTGCCAACCCCATACACCTCGTTGTACAAGGAGTAAGGGATGGCTTGAAATAGCTTATTTAGAAATAGACTCGAAATAAGCTATACAATTTGCGCTATGCAGTTTATGGTGCTGTGTACGCACACTTTGAGACCTGTTTCTTAGCCAGCTTTTAATCCATTTGATGTTTGCCTATTATTCTGTATCATTCAAGTTTTTTTCATCAAAACATTGCAAGGCAACAAGTCACATGCTTTACAGATGTCTAAGAGAACTATATCAGCACTATTACTTTTATCAATCAAAATTCTAATTTGTAAAAAACACAAAGCTAGTTTGAGAAGATGTAGCTTCCATAAATCCATGTTGACAGGCTTTAATTATATTATCATCCTTTAATTCTTTATTCATCTAGTCCCATATCAGCTACTAAGACTGTCTCTCCCTAAGGTTGTGCAGAGTCTGGGACAACCCATCCCCCACTCCAGGCTCCACCCCTCTATTCCACCCTCCTCCCAAATCCTGGTCTCATGGGCTAACCTCAATAACCGTGCGTTGCCAGCCTGGCCTCCTTCTTCCACAGGAGGCTGCCACCGCCAGAAGGGTGCTGGTTGGAGCTGGTGAGCCACGCCTAGGAACTGCCACCAGAGTCCCGGCAGAGACCGTGCAGAGCTCGGCTGGAACACTGAACACTCTGCCAATGTGCTCCATGCACAGCCCTTTCTCCCCCCGTCCTGTCCCACTCCACTGGGGGAGCAGCAGTGCATGGAGCTGCTCACTCTGCCACGCTCCACAAATCAGAACTGGGAGGGTGAGGGGTTCCCCCCACACACTCCTCCTAATGGGAGCCAAAGCTGGGGCAGGGACTGGAATGCTGCACTAACCTTAGCATCACGGGTGGCCCAGATCCAGGCCCGGCAAGCAGCCCTGCCTTGGAAGCAGCTGGGGCCAGAGCTACGGGGACTTCTGGGGCCCGAGCACAAACTCCAGCCCCGCAAACTGGAAGGCAAAAGGTGGGGGAGGGGCTCAGCGAGAACTAGAGAGAAGGAGGGGCTTGTGCTGAGGGGAGGGGGGCAGGGCAGGAGAAGAACGGGGAAGGCACCAAGGGACAGAGTGGAGGAGAGACAAAGGCCAGGGGGCCAAGTGGAGACAATGAGAAAAAGGGCAGGAGGGGAGGTGTTAGTGGGAGGGGGGAGGGTAAGGGCATTGGGGGCTAAAGGGGGGAGGAGGTGCTGGGAGAAGGCTTGAAAGGAGGGGTGGGTGTGAGGAAGGCGGGGATGGAGCAAGGCATGTGTGAGGGCACAGGGGCACAAAGGGAATGGGGGCAGAGGGTGGTGAGGGGGTGGGCATCAGGGAAAAAGAAGGCAAAGGGCGCAGGGGCAGTGAGAGAAGGGGGAGGCACCAGGAGGGTGCAGGGGTAAGGGAAGGTGAAGGTGCCAGGGGATGAAGCAGAAGGGCAGACACCTGCAGGGGAGGGACCAGCACCAGAAGGAGAGAGGCAGGGCAGGTGTGTAGAGGGAGGTGTTAGGAGAGGGGATGAGGAGGGGGTAGCTCACATGATCAGTGTGGGGCTTCTGGAGGAGTGGGCACGGGGAGACACCCCTTTTTTGTTTTTTCTCCAAAGGGGAGGCCCTGTGATATTGTGCTGCCCTGGGCCCCGCAAAACTCTCATCCGCCCCTGGGGGCAGCTGCGGTGGGGCTCCCCAAAGAGTGGTAGGGAACAGCTCTGTCAGCCACTCCATTTTTTGTCTAAGGCCCATGTCAGGCTGACAGGCCTATAAATTACCGGGCTCCTCCCATTTACCTTTTTAAAATATTGGCATAATATTAGCTTTCTTTCAGCCTTCTCAAACTTCTCCAGGCCACACTTCAATCAGCTCTTTTAAAAACTCCCAGTGCAAGTTATCAGAATCTGATGATCTACTAACGTCCAACTTCAGCAGCCGCGTGCTGCTGGTGAACAGCTCCGGAGTGACCACTGGCGTAAAAAGTGCTTATTCAGAGCGATGCATCCTGTTTTTCTCCCTGAGACAGCGCAGCGATAGTCACTGAACCCTTTACCTCTTCCGCATTGTTCGCGACAACGCTTCCATGTCAGCGCTGCGAAAGCAAGTACCGAGACCTGCCAGAGGGAGACGGGGGGGTCCTTCGCCATGGGGGGGGGGCACAGGCGTGCCGGAGAGGGGTGCCCAGGGGGCAGAGAGCGGGGCCCAGGAGGAGGCAGGGCTGTGGGCGGACAGTGAGGCCAGAGCGGACGCCAGGGCTGCGGCGCAGCGAGCTCCGAGCCGACGCTGACCCACCGGCGGGCAAGGACGGGGCGCACAGCCCGCACGCGGGTGCTGAGGGCCAGGGCGCATGCGCGGGTCTCTGCACTTGTTTCTTTGTCTTTGTTACTTTTGGGCTCCGGACGTTGCCCTCGCCCTGGGCAGGAGCAACCTGCCAGCGCGCAGGTCCCTCCTCGCGCCGGCCGGAGAGCGGGCAGTCGCCGCAGGTAATGGGGCTGTGGGCGCGAAGCTCCCGGGGCTGCCCGCCGGATTCCTCCCAGCCCAGCTGGGGGGCGGTCCCGGGCGGTTTCCGGACCTAAAGCCGCGGAGGCACCGCGCCCCCCAACTTATGGGCGGGAGGCCCAGCTGGGCGCCACGACTTGGCTTGGGTGCGGGGTTTGTGCAGGCTGGCGTAACCCAAACGAGTTTCCCTGCAGGAAGTTCCTGCTTGAGACCCAGGGCCAGCCGCTCTCCAGGTTCTCTTCCTGGTTGTTACCAGCCGGCCATTACCCGTGCTGAGCCCACCCCATGCCTTGCGTGGACCCTCTTCCCAGCCCAGTGTCCAGGCTAGCTGTGGCTAGTGGGGGCCCTCTCTCCTCTGTATTACACGTCAGGAGCAAAGGCCTGGGTACTGACTATGGGCTAGAAATCTCTGAGCACTAACCTAGCACTGCCATTGAACGGCATTGAATTCTTGAGCAAAGTTTTTCACCTTCCTGTCGCCTTTTTTTCCTCATCTGTAAAATGGGGTCAGTAATACTACTCTGTCTCAGGAGAGTTGTGTGGTCAACCCACATCACTTTGGAGAAGCTTTTCAATGACTCTTTAATGTGTTTCGTGTGTGCTTGACAAGCTTTCAAGCTACACATAGCTCTTCTTCAAGTCAGCCTCATGTGGCTGGAAAGCTTGTCAGTCTCACCAATATAAATTAGTCCAATACAGATATCTCCCCTACCTTAATCTCTCTAAGACTGGTAAAAGGATAAAGAAATATTAGAAATGTGATATTTGGATACAGAGAAAAATGTGTGTACATATACCTCCTTTTGGTTACTTAAGACACCACTCATGGTAGAAAACTTGAGGTCTCCTGGTAAATGCACATGACTGAACTTGACTCATTAGCTACCAATCTAGCACCCTGCTGCCCTCTGCCGGAGAGAGTTTTAGTGAGCTTGTCTTCGTTACACACAGAAACCCTTATCTTGAGTATAGTGGTGCTTTTGATTTAAGTTGACTGGCCTGCCAGAGGGCATAAGCTAATAATGTTCAAATTAGTGCCGCTTGTCAGCTTCTAACATGACCACTCTGAAGCATGGACACAAGCTAGCTCCTCTCCAGTGCTAGAAATTCTCCAACGCTTTCCCATAATACACCTTAGCTACGTCTACACTGCAGGCTCTTGTGCAAGAACTGTTTTGTGCAAGAGTTCTTGTGCAAAAGGTCTTCCACAAGAGCGCATCCATACTGCCATGTGCTTTTGCGCAAGAGCGTCCATGGCAGTGTGACTGCTCTCTTGTGCAAGAAAGCTCTGATGGCCATTTTAGCCACAGGGCTTTCTTGCGCAAGAAATTCATGTTGCCTGTCTACACTGCTGCCTTGTGGAAGAGCTCTTGCGCAAGAGGGCTTATTCCTCATTAGGAGAGGAATAACTTCTGGAAGAAGCCCTGTTTTCCGATGCTATTCTGTAAAAATACTTGCACAGGAACGTGCGTGCAGCGTAGATGCTCTGCAAGTTTTTGCGCAAGAACAGATGTTCTTGCACAAAAAGCCTGCAGTGTAGACGTAGCCCTTGTAACCAGAAAGGACGGACAAGTTCTACTGTTCAATGGGGGAGAATTGGAAGTGCTGCTCCATGTACTGCAGTGCAATGCAGCATGGGATATGGCTGCAGAAATGGTAGCATCACTCAGGAGTGAGTGCAGTGCCAGTGTGGACACAGCAGCTCAAGAGTCATTTCACAGTCTGGCTGCTCTGGCTTGAGCCAGTCTGACTTGAGTGTTGATGACTCAGGTGGACTCTGCAATAAAGTTATTGACTGTGGGAGAGGTTCAAGCTCTGCCTTGTGACAAGGATCACAGATCTGTTACAATAGGTGCTTAGGCCTGCTTGGGGCAGAGCAGCCCTGTTAGTCACCTGCTGGCAGGGGAATGCCCCGCCCCCTGCAGTTCCCTCCAGTTTTCTCTCTGGACAGAGGCTGGCAGGAGACTTCTCCTCCAGCCCTCCCTGCTGTGGCTTTTCAGAGGAAGTCTCCATCCTGCTATTTCTAATTGTCTGTGAGCTATTTGGGCCCGGAACCGCCCAGCGGATCCCCAGCCAGAATTGGGGCTGTGGTTGCCTTTGGGGAGATTGTTCCCTTGGCTTGGTTTTCCCTGCTGTGGTGTTGAAATAGCTGGTGCCCTGACAGGCTTCAGGCAGAGAGCTAGGCCGAGAAAGCCGGAGGCAAAAGGAAAGGTCTGTGTGTCCTGCTCCCCTTCCCTTAGTGTTCTTTTGGAGGTTGCCCAGCTCTGTGGGCAGACAGCTGTGTGGCCTTCACTGCACACATTGTGTGGGGTTGTCTCAGCCCCCCCCCCCCCCC